GCAACGTTGATCTATATACTGAAACAACTTCGGATGAGGTCGATTCCGGCAATTCTGCTTAAAAATGTCACTAACAGTTAACACATATTTATGTCTTAAGATATATTTGTTGTGTTTTTTTATTTTTTATTTTTAGCGGATCATTATTTTCGAGTGATGAATAGATAACGTGTACTTCAGAAACAAGGTTACGGGAGGACCACGGCCCCGTAGTAGGGACACACAAAATAAAGGTGATCGTTCTCCATTTTTACTCGATAGAAATGCCTATTTTTTTCATAATTTATACATTATGTCCCAAAGATTACTATATGAAAGTATAAAAAAATCGAGGCGGAGATTTTTTAAGAAACAGCTGATAATTATAGCAGACCTATAGACGCAATAGAAAAAAGACAAAAATAGTGCCTTCTTCAATTTCGAAAAAGCAATCTATAATTCTACAATTTATTGACACCTATTGTTATTTTTAAAGGGGTTGAATAACTAAAGATTCACCTTTTTGTGAGATTTGGTCGATTATTTACTTTTTAAACAGAAACTTTTCCAATTTTTAAATCTACCACACATGCAAAGAAAAATCTATAAAAAAGAGACCCCTTCTTTAAAATGGGTACACATTTTTGCCCTGGCTCAAACTCCCCTATTCTTTATGGATTTCGATGCCAAATACTACCGAGAACAGTATTAGTATAAAAATTATTGAAAATCGAAGGATATATATTTTTTTGACCCATTTCGAATATCGCCATTTAATTTTACAGTGTAGAAAAATTAAAATCCTTAATTCTGTGTTTAGATACAAAAAAATAAATAAGATTTCCTGTTGTTTTAGAATATAAGAATGACAATAATACGTAATTTTATATACTTTTCTCATATAAACGTGTATAAAATCAACAGTCTTAATCGTCAGTTCTTTGTATTAAACGAAAGAAAAAAGTTAACGAAAGCGCGTCATTTTTCAGTTGACGTCGGCCGACACAAAATAGTCCAATTTTGTGCACGGGACTACTGATCGCCACCGAATCACAATTAGGCCAAAAAAGGCACATTCTGTTGTCCTACTGAGTTGTAATTTAAAATCCAAACGTATCTACTAGCTATCAATCATCATTTAATGTACTTTGAGGCCTTTAGTCAACTTAAAAACTATTGCTTGATCGGTTGTCAGAGGGAATTTTTTAATTTTCAAAAACACTATTTCGTGGAAGGGCAGACTAAAAATTTACAGAGGTTGAAGACTAATTACCATAGATAACACACACAAAGAATAATTTATTTTTTTTAGGTTATGCGCAAAAAAGATCTAAAAGCAAAGTGTGTCGTAAATTTTGTTGGCGATTTTTGTATTTTTATTTAAAGACACCTACTATGTTGCTATGACTCATTTGAAAGGTATTTCACTGAACCCATACATTTCATTGTTTAGTACTGTAACCTAAATATATAAAAAGTAAAATATCAAACATACCAAAGTCCAAGGAAAATTCAAAACGGAAAGTCCCTTATCAAATGGCAAAATTAAAAGCTCAAATACATCAAACGAATAGAAAACAACTGTCATATTCTTGACTTGGTACAGGCATTTCCTTGTGTAGAAAATGGTGGATTAAACCTGGTTTTATAGCTATCTAAACCTCTCACTTGTATGACAGTTGCATAAAATTCCATTATAACAATGTGTAAACAAAACAAACAAACATAATATGTAAAAATGTCAAAAAAAGGGGTACAGCAGTCAACATGGTGTTATAATTTTAATCACTATAAAACAAACAAATATGTCAGAAAATAAAAATAAAATGACATATAGACAAAGCAAAAATGAAACACAATAATACAACAAATGACGATAGCACAGTAACACAATGGCGGGATGTATAAGTACCGAGCCACGCCAAGAGGATATTATCAAAAATAGACTAAACAGTAAAGTAAATAATTTACAAAGACAAACAAAAGAACACTTTAATACGTAATTATCTTTACTTCAAGAGCATCGTGTATTATTTGTGAAGTTGATACGGAATATTTATTAGCAAGGTCTTGGTATCTTCCGATGAACTTTTTTTTAAAAAAAGACGAGACGTACTTTGACATAACCCTGGTTCATCAACTTTCTGCTCAGACACTGGTGACGTTTTATAAGTCTGAGAAGCAGCTGTAAGCTCTTGAATACCGATTGAGTTGGGAAATGTATATGCCATATGCAGGTAAATTTGGTACATTGCTACTAAGGTGAGGGAAATTGATAATTTCAAAATTAAAATCGTCTCGTTTGTCATATTCTCGTACTGAGATGACCGCTTATGTCAAATTCGAGGTATAAGTCTAAAAATGAGGCGGAGGAAGCCATGTCTGTTGTTTTTTTTTATTTCTAGTTCTGGAGGATATAAAAACAGAAAAGTGTGGATTGTTAATGGAAAGAACATCAGCAATATATCTGATTGTGAAATTAAATGATCTGGCTTCTTTGATCTTCTTGTTTTTGACAAGTGTCTATGAAAATAAGAAGAGGTCGGCAAGGAGAGGCACACAGTTCGTTCCCATAGGAATGCCGACAATTTGTTGAAAGAAGTCTACCTCCAAATTCAACAAATATGTTGTCAATAAGAAACTCCAATATTAGAATATGAAGCGAGATGATGCATAAACTATTTTAATTTTTTACGTTTTCAAGGTAAAATTATCAACTCAAACACGCCTGAAAAAAAAAAAAGTGTACTCGACACATGCTCGATTTTCTCTTTTTGAAGAAATTCTGGCCCATTTTTAGAATTCATTCTCCCCAAATAAAAATCTGTCGCTGGGGCGGAGATTCAAAGTTAGGCTTAAAAAGATCAATCCTTTATCTTTTTTGGTGATTTTTTTTCGGCGGAATTTATGCTTATGCACAAAAAGATCCACATGAATTTGAACCTACCACAATCGACTGCTTTGTGGAAATGTTTCTTTAATTAAAATTTTACAAATATCTCACAGCTCCATACTATAATTTAAGAAAAACACGTATATATAAGATGCATACAATCTTAAATAATGCACCAACATTAAACTTGTAAAGCCCATAGAAACAGATGTAAACAATTCCAACTAAGCCTTTTTTACCTTCTCTACTAAAGAGTCCTATTTCCTTTGTTTAATTTCAACTTGATATCAGCCTGTACGTACCAAATAATTTTGCACATGGAGGTGATGTCCATATAGACAAACATTGTCTTGCTTGTCCTCTATATTTGAGGGTATACACTAGGAGGCATTTTCCATGATGCCACAACTACATGTAATGTGAAGTTATATAAATCACAAATTACCTGTTTTATTGATTGTGATTAATATCTTTATGAATTAAATGTTCAATCGTTCCTTCCTCAAAAGAAAAAAGAAGGAGGGATATACTATTTCCTCTAGATTGTGTAATTTTTTTAATGATATGGCTTTCTTTAAAACTACGGTAATGCACATATACATCAAGTTTGTAAATTATATATATCTGAGTAAGTAATATTAATAAATTGATCGACAGTCATATTATTAAGGTAGGATATGTATGGTTCATTGAAACAAAAACTTTTCTGAGTGTATCCGCAGATGTGTACTGGAGCCATGTTATAACCAAACAAAGACTGAACCCTGCTCAGACACAATTTGTCGTATGTCTGAGCCGAACAGCCTTTGCTACGTCTAAAATTAAGTAGAAGGAAGCCGTGTCTGTTGTTTCTTGAATTTCTAGTTCTTAAGGATATATCAATGGAACCCAATCAGAAAAGTTTGGATTGTTAATGGAACAAACATCATCAATATATATGAATGTGAAATTAAATGATCTGGTGTCTATGATCTTTTTGTTTTGGTGCGAGATTCAAATTTAGGTTTAAAAGTATCAATCTTTTATCTTTCTGGTGATTTTTGTTTTCGACGGAATTTATGCATATGCACAAAAAGATCCACGTGTATTTGAACACAATCGACTGCTTTGTGGAAATGTGTCTTTAATTAAAATTTTACAAATATCTTGAAGCTCCATACTATAATTTAAGTAAAACACGTATATAAGATGCATACACACTTCAATTATGCACCAACACTAAACTTGTAAAACCCATAGAAAAGGATGTAAACAATTCAAATATACCAACTTAGCCTTTTTTTACCTTCTCTACTGAAGAGTTATATTTCCTTTGTTTGATTTCAACATGTTCAACTTGATATCAGCCTGGGTTGATTGGGTTCAGTATTCTATGGTATATGTATAGCAGTAAACTGGTTTTTAAACTAATTGTCATCAAAATAGCTTTAAACGAAATATTTTATGTAATTATCTTCCCTTGAATATCAATTCATTTGTTTTTCATTTATTATCTCCCCTTGTCAATTTTAAGCAATATGATGTAAGATATGTATATTTCTATTATGAATTAATGCAAGCTAGTTTAAGTTAAACAAACCAATTCCATCTTTTTCTTTCAAAGATAAATGAGCAAAATTGCAGAAAAAAGTAATGCCTTTAAAGGATATATAATTAAACTATACAATATAATAGTACAAGTATCAATTAGTATGACCAATTCCGTGTAAAATATATATGTTGAAACACACAAAATATAAGCCACACAATGACAACAGTTATAACATATTGCATATTTAATTTGTTCATTAAATAAGGTTTTGTACTTGTAGCACTATATATATATGCATTCCATCCTTTAACTGGTATACATTTTGGCTGGTTTGTATGCGTACTATTTATTAAGTCCTCTTATTTTATAACCTCAATTTGGTCTGTATTACGCCAATGTGGTATAAGTGAAATATTTCAAAGAAGTTAATGCTGCAAAATAAATCAGATCACAAATTCAGATTTTAAGTAATTGCAACATCTGGGATGCCAAGTATACCACATCTCCTGCATTTCCTGGCTCGTACATGAACTTTGATGCAGGTGAGCTACACAAAATGCATATCATCAACAGTTCAATAAAATAAATAATACTTACCGAGGCTTGGTTGAATTGTAAGATGAAGATAAATCAGAAGTTGCTCGGACCAAAAGTTGCAGTATCCCTAAAATATAAACAAAAAATGACAGACAATACTCAATTATGATAACATCTTATACAAACTTAATGTATCTAGAAGTGCAAGCTACTGATGAGGTAAAAAACAAAAGACAAACACTAGTTATATACCAATTAAGACGAACATTCGTAAATAGAGGATGATTAGCAGTAAGGTCTTTTATGAGACTCTAAATTGAATAAAGAATGATTTTTGTGTTAAGATAATTGATACAATTGTAAAAACATTTAAACCACATGGAAATTAATGAATGTTTACTGTTTTCACAAAAACATGCAAAGAGGCACTTTCCTTGATGCCACAACTACATGTAATGTGAAGTTATATAAATCACAAATTACCTGGTTTACTGATTGTGATTAATATGCCAGCTTTAGCTGGCACTAATGGTAGAAACATCGAATTGGAATAAAAAACGATAACTCTCTCTACATGATCAATCTAAAAAGTTTCGTCACTCTCGTTAAATCTCGTACGATTTTTTTTTTAAATTTCGAAGTTGATCAAGTCAAGTTATCTAACTCTTAAAAATATTTTTTTTCTTTTTTTTCCTTATATTTATTAAATAAATATTGTATTCTAGCTTGGCTCCAAATATAAAGTCAATTCTTCAAATAATGAAAACGAAATTAGCATTGAAATATCCTTTAGGACATTGTCAGGACATTAGTTTAACCCTTATATTTTTAATAGCTGCCAGATTCTCGTTTAATCGCGATCTTGAAAAAACGAGACAACACGGAATTAATTCGATGTTAAATACGACATGAATTTTTATTTGTTTACAAAAACAAGAAATTATAAATTTTAGTAACTTGTGTAGTTTATTTAATCTTTATTGTACCATGGAAATAACCGAAGTTTGGACAACAACATCTTACGCCATGTTTCATCGTCTGCTTCATCTTTCCATTATCAGTGACAAATTTCCTAAATAACCACAGGTACTTCATTTAAAAGTTACAATATCATAATTTATGATAACATTTGTAGTGTAAAAGTTCCGTCCAGCCATGGGATGGGAACACAGAAAAACACTCTGCAAGCAATAAATTTCGAGAGAAACGTAGCCGGAGGTAGTAAAATCCGGTGCTCTACCTCTGGTTGACCATGACTACTATTATTCATTTGCTACAGAATTTCCCATATCAAGTTTCAGTGATAATGAAGTTGGTTAAACTGTTCAATGTGAGCACGGTTATATTTATATCTACATTAAACAGTCCCAGGAGATGGAGACTGTTTTTTTTCACTCTCTAGGTTTAATCATAAAACAGCTGTAAAAGGAGACTTGAGTCTGAGTGATACATTTATAGGTACATATATCTTCAAATCTTATGACATATATATTGTATGCACCCATATTGTCTAAAATAAGATTTTATGGTAAGATGGAGTTATGATAACCCATGATAATACCATGACTTTTGATAGGTATAGAACATGTTACTTGGAAGTATGTTGGCTACATTCTTTGAAATTTAAGCTGCCAACACATTATTTGGATGCAATATATAAATATAGTTGCCACAGTCGCCTGTATATTTTATGCGTCAGTTTAAACCTGATCAAAACATTTTCCCTCTACTTAATACTTTTATCAGGTGCACATTTCAACCTATTAATTAAAGCAATAAACACTTATGGCTATAACGTCATACTACCCAAATTGCATTGAGTACCCAATTTGCACTTATTCATCAAACATAACTGCGGAAATCATACAAGTTTTCTTTGAGACTAAGCAATTTGTATTGTAATGATTTGACATTATACATGTCTTTCAACATCGATTAATATATTTATAAATTAAATATACACAAATCGTTCACAATGAGAATATATAAACATATGAAGCACTCCCGGGAAAAAGTAAATCTACGAAAACGTCAGTGGTGTCACCATGCGAAGTTATATAATTATCATCTTTTAAAAATGTAAGCATCTTCACAACTACAAGTTAATTCTCATGACCAAAATAAAATAAAGTACAATTAAAAAAGCAATAAAAATCTTCGCCAAGCACAGCCTAATACAACCGCAGATGTAGATTTAGCATATAAAAAACTCCAAAAATTTTATGTCAGTTGAAATCAAACATATTTTAATTTTGGGCCCTTCAAACTTTGATATGGACTAATATAAAAACAGGTATCAGATGAGCCCGAACATTTCTATTCAGCAGCAGTCTCCAACTACATATTCATACTTGCCAACCTCTGACAATGAGAAATCATGTCATGTGTGAAAACGCGTGACGTAGATGCGGACTTTTTCATATGAACAATGTTCATAATTTCACAGTAATCATTATACAAATTTGTTAATATATACATGTAATAAACAAGAGTCTACTGTAAACTTTTATTGAATTCAACTGTAACATATCTCCTTACTTTTATATGATAGTCCTACAAAAATATTGAAAAATTATGTTTTCTCATGTCATACATGTGAAAGCGGTACTTTTTTGGTCACTATTTATGTGTTGCGTCTAAATATGAATTGTAACACTTTATAGTGACTGACCAGGTGAAACAAATACTTCTCAAGAAACATGCAGAGAAAGAAGACAACTTGGAACAGCACCAGCCATGCCAGACTATGTATGAATAAAAACTCAGATCGGAATAGCATGGACGATATGTTAGTTATATGTCCTTGTGAATAGCAAGGAAAGCTATTAATAATTCTGCAGATAACGCAATTTTATCAGGTTTATCGTACATTTTCTGTTCAAATTTTCAAACAATCAGTGAATCATTCAAAAAGGCTAAACTAACTTTTTATTACTGAAAGTTTCAAACAATGTCATTCATGAAATAACTCGTGCGTTTCTGCGAAAAAAATCATGTGCAATTTTGTGAATTAAAGGGAAAGAAGATCCTTTTGCGGTGCTGTCGTGCATGTCAATTGGGAACTGACGCAATATATTTTCTTTATCATGACCAGTTCACTGATACTAACGTCGACATTATCAAGAAGTACGCATCAAAGGAAAAATGCACAAATTACAGATAAAATAATTTACACACCCTGTTTCGTGTGTATCTCCTGCCATATCAGTATTTGTTGCATTTATATATACATGAGAAATAACCAATGTAAAAATGGGTAAATATTTGGAGAAAAAAAAACAAAAATTTTGTTTTTGACCACTGACTCCTAAACTGTTGGTACCATATGATAACCCCCAAAATCAATTCTAACCTTTCTTTTGTGTATTGAACATGTTGAAGTTGAACCTTCTGGTACAATTTCATACATTGTCATAGAGATTCATTTACTTAAACTTAAGTAATTGTCTGGAAACCAAATGTGTCTTCAGACAACAACAGCAACATGATTGCATTACTCGAAAGCAAATTTTTGACATATTCCCCATTTCCATTCTGAATTTTATTTTGCCGTCGTATAGAAACTTGAAAAGTAAGCTAATAAAACGAAATGCAAAAATGACATAAAACTGATTCTGAATTAGTACATGAAATTGATGTAGAAACCCACAAACAGAAGATGATCAGGAATACATTTATACTGCTGAGCAGTGTTCTCCCCTCAAATTTTAAATAGCATCTTAGAAAATAGCAAAATCTTTAGATTATCAACTTAACAATCCTATTTATGGTTCCTTATGCTTAGATCAAAATGAAATACCTGATCAAAACATCATTCTAAACAGGCTCACTGTAAATTCAAACTCTTCTTTCAACATTAATCATAATGATCCTCTTGCTGATCACATATATATGAGATGCAGGAAACTGGGAATACAATATGAACATCCAGATAATTTAGAAAGTAAAAATAATTCAACAAACAGAAAGCGTTGTTTGCAATACTAAATAAAAAAAAAAAAACAGCTAGAACTTTTAGATATTGATTAAAAAGATATTCCAAATCCTCCACCTTTTCATGAAAATAAAAAAAAATATATCTTTGATAAAGTTATGGATTTTATAACAGTATTCATAGTTTTGAAATTAAACAAATGGCTTAACGTTTTTATTTTTGTAAAATTTGCAAAGAAAGAAAATGGATTTGAAAATGGCACAAGATAATGAATTTAATCATTGTCATTTAGATAGACCACCAATAAATTTATTTTCAGCAGAAAACAATATGGGCAATAAGGGTGCAACCATTTAGCTTCAAAAGGGCGGCCGGGGGGGGGGGGGGGGGAGGGGGGAGTATGGTTTTTTGTTCGAGTTAGATTTTTTTTCATGCAAAGGGCTTCAACGCTATCAATCAAAAATTAGCACTAGAAGGTATGGGGATAATCTGGATTCAGAATATTTTTTTGTCCTCTGCTTGATTAGAATTTTTTTTTTCATCAATTTGTGAATCAGAATATTTTTGAAGAAAAAAAACATACTCCATCCTGCCTTTTGAAGTTCAATGATCGTTCCCTTAACATTTTCCATATGAACTTAATATTTTATTTTAGACAAAAGCTATATGTAGGACATTCGTCCTGAACATGCATGAAATATTTGCCACTGGACGTTAAGCAAACCAGCAATCAATCAATAAGTAGGACATAGTCTTGGTAAGCTTGCATTCAAGGAAGCACCTTCCTCATATTATCTTCATGAATTAAATGTTCAATCGTTCCCTTTCTCAAAAGAAAAAAAAAAGGAGGGATTTACTATTTCCTCTAGATTGTGTAATTTTTTTTAATGATATGGCTTTCTTTAAAACTACGGTAATGCACATATACATCAATTTTGCAAATTATATATATCTGGGTAAGTAATATTAATAAATTGATCGACAGTCATTTATTTAAGGTAGGATATGTATGGTTCATTGAAACACAGACTTTTCTGAGTGTATCGGCAGGTTTGTACTGGAGCCATGTTACAATCAAACAAAGCCTGTCCAACAATATATACAGATGTACACTGTAGGCATAGATCAAAGAAATTAAGACTATTCTAATTATATTTACAGGTGTATACTGGAGTTTAGTTACAACGAAACAC